TCCATCGTTGCCATCAATTGCAGAGATCACGCACAACTACCACACAAACACAAGACGGCGGTTGGTTCAGCGTTACTGTGAAAAATCCATTGACTGACAGTGATGACAGAGTTGCAGTACAGTAGGCTTAAAACCTTGACACAAACTCTGAAAACATCCCGAAGTGATCAGAAAAATCCATCGTTGTTGCTCTTGCAGTTGTGTTGCGGGGTGCTGTGCAGTGCAGTGCAGCCCAGGAATGCATGCAGGTGCAGTGCAGCCCCGTACTACTTTTACTGCGACGAGCGACGGGATTAGAGCCCAACTGCGCGATCGCACTATTCCTCGGCCGCTTCCCCCAACTTCCGCTTGTGCTGTAGTCATAGCCCGCCCCGAACGGCCGCTCTATTTCACCAAGGAAGGAAACGAGCGTCGGAAATGTAGTCCAACTTCACGATCCCGGGCCTCCACAAGTCTCAACTCCCCCAAGCGACCGACACCCTTTCTATTGCGACAACCTGGGCTGGCTGCAAACCCAAGCCTAAAACAGAGCCCAAATCCTAGCCGGGGTCCAGCAACTCTTTTCTTTCGCGTGCCGGTGCTTCTCGTGTTGGTGGCCAAGGCAAGCAAAGGGCCGAGGAGTGGACTACGGTGAACAAGACGAGTAGACGACAATGATGACGATGATGTCTAGGGCGAGGAGGATGATGAGTAGTTGCTCCTCATGTCCCTCTTGTTTTCCTTTCTAGCGCTGGATGCTAAAGGAGGGAGAAATTTTGTTCAAACCTCTGTTGTGACGCATGTTCTTCTTTATCCACCTTTTTGCAGATAATACAAAAAAAAAGTGCGTATAGTATCCGCATTTTCTCATATTTTCCCCATCTCCTCACTTTTTGATGCAGTGCACTATTTTTTTTGCATCCGACCATGTACAAATTATTAGGGGGTGCGTTGTATGTAACCTAAACAAAACTATAAAAAATAGGGTTAATTCGAACCATACCATTACAAATGTTACGGTTTGAAGATCTGTCATTATTATTCGTCTATTTGATCCGTACCATTACAATTCGCTCTCTACCTGAACCGTGCCATTTTTTACGGGTGTGGCTAGCGCCCGGACGTCTGCGTAGCCTGTCCCCGTCCGCCTTCGCCTCGCCCCACGCGCGCACTTTGCTCCTGTCTCTGTGCCCGCTGGATCCTCTGACCCCCTCCTCTCTCTCCGCGTGGCCAGCACTCAGGAGCTGTGATGAGTAGCTGAGGACAAGCGCACCCCGACCGTAGCACCACTGTTCACCGCCCCCCAACGGCCCTGTCCCCCCCCCCCGCTGTGCCGTCGCCTAGTCCCCTCGCCCCGGCCGTACAGTATAAAACACTTACAACATGAAAAACATTTGAATGCATACGTCTGAAAAGTAGATGAAACATATGGAACACGCACTTGCAACATGTGTGTGAAACACAAGAAACATCCAAATTTGCAACATGCAACATGAAATCAATTGCTGCAACATAAGACTGAAAACAACTGAAACATTTGGAACATACTGTTGCAACATATGTGTAAAATATATGCAACATCTAGACAGTGTTCGCCTAAACGGCTAGTAAATGGTGGTAAACTGTTTTGTTTAGGGGGGTAAACGGAGATTAAACGGTTAAAAAACGAGAAAAAACGGTTTAAACGGCCTAAACGGAACGGAGATAAACATCATTAAACGGGCTAAACAACGGTTTAAACGGCTGTTTAGGCGAACACGAGGTAAATTTTATTCAGTTTTGTATGGATAAATTTGTATACTTAAGTTTATTATATTTATAAATGTGTACACTTGATATGTTACATGCATAAATATCTATATTTGGTTCTTTTCACATGCATAAATATATATACATACCAAAATAATTGATTTTTACTCGGATAAATATGTATAAATGCTAGAATACTTGATTTTTTACATGCACATATATAATTATATGTATTTTTTTTTAAAGTACAAAACCGTTTAGACCGTTTAACTTCGTTTAAACACCGTGTAAATAGGCTAAACGCTAAACGAAGAACGACCATGTAAAGACCGTTTACCATTTAGAAAAACATCGCATCTAGATAAAAAAGATTGCAATAGACGTCTGGAAACAGATGAAAAATATTTTGAACAAGTGTTTGCAACGTGCCTCTAAAACACTTACAATATATGCAACATGTGCAACATCCCCCGATCTACTTTTGTAACATCAAGATTAAATAATTGCAACATACATTTGAAACGTCTGAAACACTTCAAATGCAGCATAGGGGAGGGAAGGCCGGGTCAGTCGATTCTGGCCGTCGGGGTGGGAGCCGGCGGCGAGCTACGGTGCGCGAGCACTACCACCACTGGCCGCGCTCGTGGATGCCCTTGGCTCGACCGGAGAAGACCTGAGGCGCCACGGCACGTGTGCCCCGTGGCCATGGCGAGGTCAGTGGCGCGCCCAATGACGATAGGTGATGGACGAACCGGGAGGGACGAGCGACGTAGGTGACTGCCATGCGCAGATGAGCAGTGCAGGGAGTGCGGGTGCGCGGCGCGGCTGGCAATGAGCGGAAGGGCAGCCACACCGAGCGACACAGGTAGGCAAAGACCAGGGCGGTGGCGAAGGACTTATTCAGACCCTTGACGGGCGGAGGACGGTGGCCGAGAGCTGGCGAGCGCTTTCGCCATCTTTTGACCGCTCCGGCAATTTGTCGAATGCCTCGCTGTTACGCCCTCACACCATGGAGATGGCGCCGTCGCGTGCGTCCTCGTCCTGGCGCGCCTTCTTCTCGTGGCACCGGCGGCGGAGCAGGGCGAGTGTGAACCCAGGAGGTCGTCGGCGGCATCCTTGGGCGAGGCGCCGGAGCCCGGTAGAGCCGAAGAGCCTGGCCTCGTCCACGGCCTCCTCTTTATGGCGTAATCTTCTCTTTATCGGATCATCCCGTGATCCCGTGCGGCATGCGCCATAGCCTTTCATCTGTGATTACTCTATGGTCTACAGTACACCGAAACCGAATAGTGTAGTGCATTGATCAAATGCTTTAGTGAGGATCTTGACCGAGCTTCTTCTATCTTGTTCCTTATTATATATATATATATATATATATATATATATATATATATATATATATATATATATATATATATATACAGTCCTATTTGATTGGTTTTATCATCTCAACCACCAAGACAATAAAAACATGACTAAGAATATGGCATGTTCGTCTACATCATATATCTCACCAAGTCCACCTTTAGTCGTGATCCCACTCAGGCATTCCTTCCAAAGGGGCACACCTTGGACACTTGGGTTTGGACGAGCGTGTGCTGTGTTGCATCGGAACCAGGAGCGAAGCCACACCCACCTAGAAATCAGGGTGCGGCGCATTGTGCCCCGGCCATAAAAAACCATAGAAAAAACAATGATCATTATTTAAATTCCCACCATCTTAGAATTTAAACGAAAAGTGGTATGCAAACACGATCCAAGGCCTTGTTTAGTTGACGTTTTTTTTTGGAAAATTGTACTGTAGCACTTTCGTTGTTATTTGGTAATTAGTGTCAAATCATACTCTAATTAGGCTTAAAAGATTCGTCTCGTAATTTCGTTTAAACTGTGTAATTAGTTTTATTTTTTATTTATATTTAATGCTTTATGTATACGTCCAAAGATTCGATGTGACGGGAAATCTTAAAAAATTTTGCAAAATTTTGGGAACTGAACAGGCACCGAGGCCTTATTTGGATGCATGCGTATTCATCTCAATCCACATGTGTTGGACATGTGTTGCACTCCAACACATATGGATTGAGATGAATACATACGTATCCAAACAAGCCTAAACATGTTCAAGAAAAAAAAACGCACACACAATATAAACCGATGAATATATAATATGGTCTGCGTCTGCCCCACCTTGCTTTCCCTCCGCGGCTCGGCTTACTAGCCCTGGCCGCACAATGCAATCACCTGCTCTGCTAACGTTAGCTCCGTCGGCCGGGCCTTGTTTCTAGAACGCCATCATGGACGCATGGTGCACGGCTTGGCATGAACTGCAGCTCTCCATGGTGTGTGTCTCGGCACCCGTGTCGCTCTCCTGTGCCGTCCGGTGCACATGCACTGCACGCGGCGCGCGGCATGCCGGCATGCAAACCGGGCGACGACACGCGGGGCCCGTGGCGTCCCTGCACGCCCACTTGTCAAGCAAACCCCGCTCGTTGTTTCCCTTGGGCCCCGCTGACACGCAGGTTCTGAGGTTCCTCAGCGTGGGGTCCAGCTGTAAGCCACTACATCGGGCACCAGCCAACAACAAACAACCGAGGCAAATATGGCGCCGGAACAAAGCTCCTTTTTTGAGAAACGAAAGAAAGAAACAAAAGCCGTTCGTTCATGCCTGTCTGATTCTCGTCAGTTCATCGCCACTCAAGTTACCCATCCGTTTATACGAAGAAGTATACTACTACTGCTTCCACCTATGGCCGCATCGTATACCTATTTCCCCCCTGTTTTTCGTCCATTTTAATTCCTTCATTCTTGGACTAGTTTGCCCTGCCGAATTTGATTTTCGAAAAAAAAAAACTTAACTGAACGCGAACTGCTCGGGCTTCTGTTGCGCACACTCCCTCCTCTCCTACTGGGAGTAGTATCTCTAGGCGTTTCATTGCTTTGCTCTGCATCCGCTATTAGGGATCTATAGGACTAGGAGGAGAGGCACGCTGCACCTGCACGCAACAGAGGACGGGGAGAAAGCAACACCTCGCTTCATTCTTTGATCGACTTTTGCCTTCTTCTTTTTTGGCCGGGAGGAGAGGAGAACCCTGAACCCCAGGGAGAGGAGGATCGGCAGCGGTTGGTACGCGATGCGATTCTTCCTCTTTCTTTCTTGAGCTCAACTTCTTGGATTATTCATTCATGGATCGGTGGTTCTTGGAGAATTCAGGATGGAAGGTTGTAATGGCCACAGCAGCAGCAGGAGCCTTGAGAGGGCGATATCCAGGAAGGCCATGCAGGCAGGGAGCTCTGCTCCCTGTAAAACCTGGCTCATCGGCTTCTTCTGCGCCGTCTGCATCACGTGCCTGTTTGGTGTAGTCGCTCTCCCTCCACTTCGGGTCATTCAGATTCAGAGCCAGTCTGTCTATCCGCCGCTGCGGCGAACGATCCTCTGGAATTTTACATTGGCCCAGCCTGCTGGTGATTGCTGCACACCTTGAATCTGCACTATGGTTATTTTGTTTCTGATGGAACTGGAATTCCGGTGCTCTAGTGATTATTAGTTGGATAAGGCTGTACTGTATGTGTCTGTCAGCTTATATATTGTACTGATGAAATGAAACAACCATGGGTCCATTGGCCATACTACACACTAGCCCCATCTGAACCTCATGCAATAACTAGTTTTCTGTACCTGCATTACACTTCTTGTCAGTTTCATATGGCTGTAGAGTCTGTAGTGTAACTTGTATCAGTGGACAATCCATATTTCGCTTTTTGTTTTTCTTGTGCCCATGCCTGTCAGCCTGTAACTGTAACTACTATGTTCTTTGGAGCAGATGGGGCAGCAGCAGCAACAGATGAGTTGCCTTCTGCACCAGAGAAGATGGAACAACCAACGGAAAACGAAAACATCACTGAAGATGCTAGGATAATGCACCTGTACAATTCATGGAGCACTTTGCTCAACACTGACAAAGATGGAGTCCTGAAAAGTTCAGACGGGGTCTTTAAAAGTTCAAACGTGCCACGGCCACCTCATCTGGAAGACTGCAGGACTAATGCAGAAAGAAATGAACTATTCGATAGCTATGGCGATAACAGTACATTCCCTCCATGGACGTTATGGAAAGGGTCACTTGGGCTTGAATTCTTGAGCCACAAGTATTCAGAACATGCAGATCAGCATAGGCAGCATCCTCCCTGGGTATGCGTGCGAACTTGCCTGAATTTATGACTAACTATTTTGGTGATATTCTGTATGCAAATTCTGACTCTGGATTAATGATGAAAAAAATAAAAGATTGTAGGATCTGATGAGGAGAACTATCCATTGACCAGACAAGTGCAGAGAGATATATGGACTCATCAGCACCCTCGGAACTGCAGCGATCCAAGCTTACGGTTTCTGGTTGCAGACTGGGAGAGGCTGCCTGGATTTGGTATTGGCGCGCAGATCGCTGGAATGTCAGGACTTTTTGCTATTGCCATGAAAGAGAAGCGGATACTGGTTACAAACCACTACAACCGTGCTGATCACAAGGGTTGCAAAGGTGACAGCCCTGCTTCTCTTCTGGATTCTTGTTTTACAATATTATATAAAAGTGTGGTGCTACTTGCCTTTTGTACACACTGAACTTTGGTTGTACTGTATCTTTTAGGTGCCTCAAGATCTAGTTGGTCTTGCTACTTTTTTCCTGAGACATCTCCGGACTGCCGCAACCGGGCTTTTGAGCTCATGCAAAGCAAAGCCTCTTGGGCTGATGGTACTGTAAAAGTGAAGGGAAACTATACCTCCAAGGAAATTTGGCTTGGACGCATACCTAGGTACAATTTTAGTTTGATGTCAGTTCGTTTTCACAATTCTTCGCCTCTTTTCGCTTTTCACAGTCCACTTGTTTACTATTTGTCCTAGAGATAAAATTTAGAGCTGATTCCCTATCGTTTACCCTTGCCTGCTACTATTTCCAAAGGAATGCACTTCTGTAACATTTGTTGTACTGTAGGGTGTGGGGGAAACCTTGGAAATATTTGCAACCGACAACAGAGATAAATGGTAAATTGATTACAAATCATCGTAAAATGGATAGGAGATGGTGGGTAGCACAGGTGAGTTTGCGCACTCTTTAGTCACAAGTTAGCGATTACACAAGACAGTTGTTCTATTAAACTGCATGACAATTCTCAAAAAACAAAACCTGTTAAATTGTACAAAGGAATCTTACAGGCTCTTGCTCTTAATTATATTTGTTTTCCTGAAATCTCAGCTTGTCTTTAACCTTTCATGCAGGCCACAAGGTATCTAATGAGGTTCCCGACAGATTACATGTGCGGATTACTGAATGTCGCTAGGCACTCTGCATTTGGTTTGCAAGCAGCAAAGTTGGTTCTTCAGAGTATTCAGGATGACTCACCAAAGGTTTGAAAAATCTGAAAACTGGTTTCGTGGACTCATGGTGCACCATGATTTGTTCAGATATGGTAACATCAGCACCAATACCAATATATTTTTTTAAAAGAAATCTAAAAGGTTTCACAATTTCAGGTTGGCACTACTAGAACCAGATCTGATATTGAACGTCTTGTGTGGTCAGACCACAAACCATATATACCACGGCCTCTTCTCAGCATGCATGTAAGAATGGGAGACAAAGCTTGTGAAATGGCGGTGGTTGGCTTTGAGGAATACATGGAGTTGGCTGGCAACCTGCGCAAACAGTTTCCAGGTCTCAAGAACATCTGGCTTTCTACTGAAATGCAGGTAAGTCAATTCCCTCATCCAGTGTAAATCATCTGTCAAGCTTAGAAGGGAGGTGATAGTCAGTAGTCACCGATGTTTCGGGGCACTAACACTACCAAAAAAAAAAAAAGACTAACCCAAGCTGTGGAGTCGGCATGTACTCCGCCCATTTTTCTGCCTTTAATATAATGACGTGAAGTTCTGCTGTGTGTTTGAGGAAAAAGTTTCTGCAGTGTCAATCTGACATGCTTCATTATCTAGCAAGTATATTTTACGGTCAGATGGAATTAAACTTCCCCTAATAATTCCGTATGCAGGAAGTTGTTGACAAAACAAAACTTTACCCCCATTGGAGTTTCTACTTCACAAGCGTGGCACGCCAAGGTAGCAATATGACCATGGCAATGTATGAGGCCAGTTTGGGCCGTGAGACTAGCACAAACTACCCCCTTGTGAATTTCATGATGGCCACCGAAGCGGATTTCTTCATTGGAGCACTGGGATCAACCTGGTGCTACCTAATTGATGGAATGAGAAACACTGGAGGGAAGGTAATGTCCGGCTACCTATCGGTGAACAAGGACCGGTTCTGGTAAGCGATTCAAAGGCCACTTGCGTCACCGATCATCTTGTAGCTCCACTAAATAGAGTTGTGGCCTAGTTTTCTTGTGTATGTACAGCAGTAGCATGATGCCACCTTCTCAGAATCTGAGAAGACACCTTTACCATGAAACTTCATGACTAAGTAGGAGAACAGTACCTTGCTATATCAAATCAGGTCCATATCTTTTGATCTGGTGTCCACTAAGAGCTAGCTCGATATGTTATCTCTTCTCTTGGTCCAACTTATCATGAACAGAGGATGCACCTACTCTATTTTTCAGTGGCGCACATAATGTTGTGGTACACGGGAGATCCAATTAAGAAAAAAATTATACTAGTATGAAAGTAACAGCTAAACCATGTAAAAAGAAGTAGACATAGACAGGTTTCTTGCACCCTGAAAACTTTCTCCTCTTTGTCAACCGTTTGATTTTTGAAGGTCTTTTTTGTTTCCTTTGAAAAGTTAGCAGGAGCATTGTGCAGTCGATGAACTGATGAAGGAGAGATTAATTTCTGATAGTAAAGGATCGCCATGCATGAACCGTTGATTCATCACCGTAGACGCTGAACTATGGCTAGACATCTCCTGGCAGAGGAAAGATTATTGGTATGCATGATAATTGATCCCGTCCTGAAATGATCTTTCAGATGTCAGCAAACTGATTCAAGCCTATGTCGTACATGCGAAAGCGAAACTAATACCAAGTGTGGGTGATTTCTACGTAGGCAAAGGACCACTATAGCATGTGCACCCAGAACTTGCAATTCCTGGACATGAGTGATGCTCTAGTTCCTGCTCAACCATCCATCCATCCATCCACTGCTTGTGAGTGAGAGGCAGATGATGACCTGAAAGGGACTCTGTAACAGTACACTGAAGAAAAAGACGAACTGCCATCTATGTGACGTACGTAGTAGTGATGGAGTGCAACCCATCACAGAAGCAGGTAGTGGACACGAGCTCAATGCATTTCAGCTTGCTCCCCGCTTGAGGGAGTGGTGAGATTCCTTTTGGATCCCATCAGCAATGCAGCAGCCCCAGAGGGGTGCCATGCACGAACAATGGCGCCCCCGGCTTGCATTGGTGGTGGCGGCTTCAGGAAGGAAGGAGCCTTGCCCAGAGGAATCCATTGACCTGATGATTCAGCTTGGATGGATGGGGAGGAAGGAAATGCAGAAACTGTGCAGAGTGGATGCAGATGCATGGAGCTCTTTCGCGCTGCAGCAGTAAAAATGCACTACTGCATGGCCTGAATGGCAATGTTAGGTATCCGAAAGGTACATTCTGGGCATTACCATTTGGATGTCATGCCATCCTTACCTGAATTATATGATGCCTCCCTACGAGCTGCATAGTAGCCTATGCCTAGCAATGCATGAAGCCCAACTTCCCCTTATCTGATACTGCATTGCTCTGAATTTTTGTGCCAGTTCATGGGAGCATGATTGAAGGTAAACCACTTTTTTGCTCTCACAATTCACAAAAGGAGAAGCTGGCATCAGATGACAGAGTATCCGAGTTGGTGATGGACTGATGCCTAGGAAGTTTTGGGGGCACCCAGCTGAGTGTGCAACAATGCTCATCTCTCTCGTGGTACATACGTATGGATCATGTTGTTCAGAGATGCGCCATTGTTTTTCTTCTCCTAAAAAAGGTCAGCTCCTTGGTGCAAGAAATTCGGTTCTCTCTTAAAACTATAGGACATCAGGTGATGAGATGACAAAACGACGCATGCTGCTGACGAAGCATGCAAGATACCAACAGCTGCAGTCACCATGGACAAGACCCATGGTCGATCAGCACAATGCATGCATACGACCAGAGCATTTCTGGCGGAATTCTTTCTGGCTCCAACCTGAACTCTGAAAACTGACGACCTGTCGTGAACACATCCATCTACTGACCGTCAATCTGTACCTCATTCTCATCATCCCATGACAGTACGACACACACAAGCAGCAGCAGCAGCTACAACAAAAGAGGGAAATGATGGAAATGAAATAAAAATGACGAAAAAATAAAGGAAAAGAAAAGCAAGGAGGAAGAAAGAAGAAAAGGTGGCTTTTGTGGCTTCTCTTTACAGCTGAAAACCTCTCTCATCTCATGTGCACCTTTTCCGTGTATCATCAGACCATCCAAAAGCAGGAGGAAATTGTTCCGGACAAATTTTGAGGATCATAACCAAACAACCAACTGATAAGAAGATAGACGTCAGCATCCACCACTTCTGCAGTATGCACTGTTTAGGACCTGTTCTGATCATCTAGAACTAACGAGCTGATTGGTGCGGAGAAATGTAACGCAAACATAAATGATAATAAGCTGCGGACCTTACCAGCAGGATATACGTTTGAACTAATTTCATTTAAGTTTCCGTTACTTTGGAACCAACCAAACAGCACGTAAAGTTTAGTCACCTAAAATTTAATTGGGTAGTATTTGGATATATACCAACTGAACTTTAGATAACTCATGCTTAACTAGACTACACTACCCTTGCGCATGGGAGAGAAGAGAGGTAGGTGCGAGGGCATTTATGTCTTTCCACGTTCAATGTCAGTTTTTTTAGTCTCCTTTAGCTCACATTTGTCAACTCGTGAACTAACAACTAGTTGTAGTTAAACTAAGTGTAGTCCACCTATTAGTTCGCTCTTTTAAATGGATAAGAACTAAAGTTAGATGACTAGTAATTAGTTCAGTGTATCCAAATAGACCCTTAATTCAGTTTGACCTCTGAATCGAGCCGACACGCCCCCAATTAATCACCATCACTGTCAAAGCTCACAGGCCGGCATCCAGGGCTGCAAATTCTGCAATGCCCTTTTCTCTACCATGCAAATCAAATCGACAGATCATTTTGGGATCGAAGAGATTTGGAATTCAGAGATCTGTGTGATGGTGACCTGTTCAAGCCCACTAATGTCCATAATCTGCAGTAGCAATTGGGGGCCTCTGACTGAGGACACCAGCCTGTGCACTGCCCACTTACGGACCTTGGCTATGTATACATTTATGCACCATCGTAGTCTGTTTTTTTTTGTAAATGGCAATCATCTGTCTCCACTTAATTAGATCCTACATATATGCAAAGATACAATAAATTGAACAGAAAGGTTTGGTAGGGAGTGTGTGGTATATAGTACTTGTGGATTCATACATCCAGGTTGGCATGTATGCAGCTGAAAGTATAAAAAGAGTTCCACTCTGACGAGGACATCACTTCTACAGATACAACCACACCACTTACAGCTATAGTACCATCTATTCCACCGCGAAGCTAGGCCAGCAATTCACAAATTTTACACAAGAAGAGATCGAAATGTGCTCCTAATTAGGAATCTTGGAGTTGAAGACAAAGATATTTGAGCTGATATTTTGTGCTGTATTTGTGGTTGTCCATAGGCCGTCACCACTTGCAGCCAGCTAGAGTATAGTAGGCTAAACTATTTGTCTGTTACTTGTTAGCTGTCTAGATTCATGGAACAACCTCCATGTTAACAGTAGTAATAGACTTAGTTGTCGCTAGTACATTGTAGTAGCATGCACTGTAGCAGTAGCCATTTTGGCTATAAATGGAGGGGTACCTCCATATGTAAGAGTTGGATTTTATTTTAGTTCAGTTCAGTTCTTTTGGAAACTACTACTTGTGTTGTCTCTTGTGTCGGTTAGACCAACAGACCAACCTCTACTCAAAGCCCCATCTTAATATTTTACTACATACTTATAATTTCAGATTGCTTGCACCTTGGTCTTGTTAGTTTTCTTTCATTTCTTGCAGGAACAGACCCTAGTGGTCAGGTCAGCTTGGTTTTGGCTAGGTTGATAACATCTCAAGGGTTGGTTCAGCGGTTGCTAGGCTATTAGAATCTCTTGGTTAGTAGCCTGGATCGTGTGAGTCACCCTCACAATTGGAAGACATCTCATCTCATCGAAAGGTTAGGCCACTAAAGTGTCACATCACACTCACAATGCCCTATATTAGGAAAACGCCACCCATGTATATATGCTCTTCTTTTCTGAAAAAAATAAAAAGCCAATTCAGTGACCATGATGGCACTATGCGCTTTTTCTCGTAAGAGAGTATCGAAAAACGTAGTGTTATTGCTAAAAAGAGGTTAACATTATTAGTTTGGTCCATGTATCAAATTACCACCTTTTCTCATGCAGTAGCTATCAGTCGGAGCTTTGCTAAAGCGTAGACGGCATCATGCTGGAATAAACCCTTGGTTGTTGTAATGGGAGCAAAACAAAATTCAGTTGGAGCAAAAGGCTCATACAAATCTATGGACATCTCATGACCATTGCATCTCAATTTATGCGTTGTTTATCAATCTGCCGCTATGACAGCTACATTATGTAGAGCCAAAAACAGAAAGAATCTGCAGCGAAACTGAACTGAGAGACAGCAACGCAATGTGCGCATTTCGCCTCTCATCATGAGCAACATGAACTCGACAAATCCGGGGAAAAAGATTGCTTTGGTTTTGTTGCATCGATCATGGAGTCCGACGAGCCTCCGAGGGATCCATCTTTATTGCAGCTCGCTAGCTTCCAGAAACGTATGAAACTCTCCCGGATCCATGCAGGATATCCGGATAGAAGCCTGAAAGGATGCACATTCTTAGGTGGAATATCTTAAGCATGCAAAAGCCCATTTACTTACGCGAAGATTACAGACTCGTTAATTAGTAGGGTATAAAGTTAACTTGCTGCCATACAGACACTGTAAATAAATTGGGAAAAAAACTTTGGGGCTAAACTTTATGAAGACAAAAGCTAAGTGTCGCTAACCAACGGCCCAAGCCATGACGATTGGCTTCGCTCTACCGTTTAAGTTTGTAGCCAAATCACATAGCACTATATTGAATTAATAGAGTTTCAGAGTTTTCCATTCTAATCCATGGTGAATTAAAGTGCAATCAAGAGGAAGCTGTGTGCAATTAGCCATATAATTGTGGCATGCATTGGTGCTTTCTGAACTTACTCACTCATACATGCTCAGAATGAAAACAAGGCGTGCACGAGTTAAATTCAGACTCATACTGCAATAACAGACTTAAACTATGGACATGTTACCAATTACGTGGCTCCTGGTGTCCTGCAACCTAAAGTGGAATATGAGACAAGGCAACTTAGCCAATGATTAGTCTAAACATGCGCCGTACCAAGAGGCCAAGTATACAATATTTCAACACCAGCAAGATAGTGGGT